AAAACGGCGAAAAAAAATCGTAGGTCAATGTTCGACATCTCATTTTAAAGAGTAGGCTTCAATCTTCAAACTCGTGCTAATTTGAGCCGCGAAATAAATTTTTGCAACTCCGTAGAGTCGTTTGAGTTCGCGAATTTTTCGAAGTTTAAATCCTTTATTATATTTCCACCTCGCTTCCTAGTGTAAAAGCATCTTCGAGGAAAATCATCTTAGGGAAGCGAAAGTAGAGGCTTCGCCCTTTACAATGAGCCCAGAAACATTGTCGTACGATTTTGTTTCACGAAGTTATAGCACTTTAAAAATCGACAATTTTTCGGCAATATTTTAGTGATCCTTTAATTTTGCTGTTGAGTGTAGTATTAATCTTGTAATTTAAAGGATGGCTCGAGAAAAAGTTAATATACCGGCCGGAGAAAGTTGGTTTTCTGTACCAATTAGTCAATAATTTACCGTTATGTCTAATAATTGAAGTGTCTAAAAAGTTGATGGATTTGTCATTTTCTATTTCATATGTAAATTTGAGTCGAGGGTGATAAGAGTTAAATATAGTGAGAACCAAGTCGATCTTGTCATCAGGTATGATAGTGAGAACATCGTCCACATATCTGTAATATGTAGGTAGATCGAAGCCTAACGATAGCAAACATTGTGATTCCAAATCGTCAAGCACAATGTCCGCTAGAATTGGTGACAAGGGGGATCCCATTGGACTGCCAAAAATCTGTTCATAAATAACTCCATTGAAACTGAAACTGGTGGAGTCTAGAACTGTCTCTATTGCGTGTAAAAATTGTGGTAGGGTGAAAAATGTCACTTCAGAGATTTTCTGCCATCGTTTCTCAATAGCCTTGAACACTAAATCTTTGGGGATGTTGGTGAATAAGGCATTGACGTCCAATGAAATTAATAGTTCATTGTCCGAAATTGGTTTGTTTTTTATGGCTTCAACCAAGGCCCAGCTATCTTTAATATGAGAAGCTGGTTTCTGGATAGATTTTTGTAAAATCTCATGAAGGAAACTTGCGACATTGTAGATAGGGCTGCCTAGTGCAGAAACTATAATGCGCAATGGATGACCAGTTTTATGGATTTTTGGCAAGCCATAACATCGGGGGAGATTACCATTCGTAGATCTTAAGTTTTGATAAGTGCGGTCGTCTATAATGCCATTGTCCAGCCATGATTTCACCAGTGTGTTGATCTTTGTACTCAGTTGTTTAATCGGATCTTTTTTTAAACATTTGTACGTGGATTGATCACTGAGTAGTGTGTTCATCTTGTTGGTGTAATCAAGTCTGTCCATGACTACAGTGACTTGACCTTTATCAGCCTTCGTGACGAATAAATCTTTATTGTCGTGTAAAAATTTTTTGCATTTCTTGTGTTCAATTAAAATGTGTCTGTCAATAGAATTGTGGTGTGGTTTATTCGAAATGAATTTGTGAAGAGATGTAGTCACAGAGTTTCTAATGGTATTTACTGCGTCAGTTGGAATCTTGTAAATATTGTTCTCGAAACTTTTGATGGTTTCCAAAACTGAACAGAATCTATCTTTTTTATTGGATGGACATACGGGGATACCAAAATTTTCACCAAGGCTGAGAAAGCTCAAAACCGAATCCGGAATTTGACGTTTGCTTAAATTAACGAGCCATCTAGATCTGTCGATATTGTTAAATGCGTCTAGCGAAATGCGTTGTCTGCATAAGATTAAATTGAATTTGTTTATTAGTCGTCTCTTGATTTGACTGTTGTGTCTACGTAGTTTATGTTTATTTAAGTGATTTTGCGAAAAAGATAGAGCAACAAAATATATGCGTATCACATACGTGATGGACAATTTGGCGAGAACAAGAACTTCATCTGTATCATATTTAACAAGGTTCTTAATAAATATGATTTTTTGTGAGGAATTGCATTGGGTTCCCACATATCTATTACTGATTACCATTATCTGCTGTTTTATTTACCAAACAAAACTGTATTTTCCAAAGATAGAATACTCAATATCCACATACTTATCATTAGGCTAAAGAAAGTACAGATCCTACTTATGTATGATACAATCAAGCCATATGTATGTAAATTCAGTGTAAAGGTATGAATAGGAATAGGAATAACGAAAATGTATCTGAGCGGATTTTCTTTGATGAAAGATTAATAGGTTAATCTAATTATGTACTATTTTGTATTATAAAATTCTCAATTATCAAATTATCAAGTAATTAGTTAAAACATTTGAGCGAATAAGCGCGAGAAAAGCGGTATGCCGGACTCGACAGATAATAAATGGCTTACTTGTTTAGTCTTGTAGCAGTGAGGGATCAGAAGTGAGCATCATCTGAAGCTTACCACTCGCTGTATGACAACTTTTTCAGTGCGTTTCTCCACCTCTCACTATCAGACGTCCACCGTTACTATGAGACTAAACAAATAAGGCATTTAACGTGCTTGGCGAGTTTGACCTACAGTTTCTCGTGCGTTCATTCGCCCAGATGTTTTTATTTATCACTCATAAACTATTGCAAATTTTATAAAAGGGTACATAACTTTCCTTTCCAGTTTAACCCGCTCTACCTGTATACGAGCGGATGAACACCTTATCAGTAACATCCTGTATGTACACATATCTGTACATGCAAAAATATGTATGATATATGTAATATATATATTTGGTGTCTAAACTTACGCTAGATGTCACATTCCCTTGATTGGCATGCTGTGCTGGCATTTCGTCCTGATAGTAATCATCATTCTGAACACCCGGTACATTCTGGACAAAATCGAGAAGCCGACGATTTGGGCTGTCAGGTGTAGTAGGCAGGTCATTGGGTAAATTCGGGAAACAAGCATTGGACGCATTACGCCGCTGTCGCAATAGACTATAATGTTCGTAATTGCGGTAACAGCCAGGGCCAGTCTGAGCAGGTCCGCGGCCACATGCCGATTCCCCCTCCGTACTGTTACCATCCACTCCAGACATGTTATGACCTTGAAACAAGTTTAGAATCTGTATTGTTCTACTGAATAAAAGAATAAATCACTGATAAGATTAATAAATAGATACTCCAGAGAGTAAAATATAAACTATTACTTAAATAGTGTATCCATCCAATAATTTATATGTATGTATAAAGAATGTTACAGTAAAGGAGAGCAATCTCTAGTTGACTTGTAGAGTAGGGAAAAATAACTCCTCAAGTCCCTATAATTTTTTATCAAGATATTTGTCCTTTAGGTTTAAGTTTCTGAATCAATATTCTTAAATAACTTTTATATTACTAATTAAATCTTAAGATAATTTTGTACTAAGGGAGTCAGCTCCGATGACCTTGACCTTGACATATGTTGTTAAGTGTACTGTGTATCGATCATGTCTTTCATATTTAAAATAACTGCTATATTTTCGAAACTTTTTGTTAAGAAATATTTAATAGAAAACGAACGCCGGCTAAAACTTTCTCAAGGTCACCCTCCTGAGCGACCTTGAGAAAGTTTTAGCCGGCGTTCGATTTCTATTAAATATTTCTTAACAAAAAGTTTCGAAAATATAGCAGTTATTTTAAATATGAAAGACATGATCGATACACAGTAGTTTCGCTCCGAAATCATTATATGCGGAGAAAAATAAGTTTGATAACCTGGTTGATATGATATCTACACAAAGTACGATTCAACCCACACCTACATAAAGGGTGGGTTAGGTGGGTTAGGTTAGGTTTTCGGCTTCGATTCTGGCGACGTGCGTTGCCTGGTTTGCCGGGGGATGCATGGTTTGGCCGGAATTGGAGAACCCCAGCTCAGGGGGCCCGAACGCGTCCCCAGGTTGCGGATAGGGGCATAACCTCTCGTTGAGGTTATTCGTGAATAAGCTGGTTCGAGTGGCCCTCGTTTGGCCACGTTAATATTGACCACAGTCCCGATTGACCACGTTAATATCGACCACGTTGTGTATGACCACGTTGATATTGACCACGTTGCAATTGACCACGGTCCCGATTGACCACGGTCCCGATTGACCACGGTCCCGATTGACCACGGTCCCGATTGACCACGGTCCCGATTGACCACGGTCCCGATTGACCACGGTCCCGATTGACTACGATCCCGATTGACCACGTTGCAATTGACCACTGTCCCGTTTGACCACGAGCACACACATACGCGCGCGCGCGCGCGCGTGGGGGGTGAGAGGGGGTCCTTCGGCCCCCCTGCCCACACCCACCCCGCCGGTAGGAA